AAATAAAAATTGATATTCTTAACCGATCAATTAGCTTGAATAATTAATTAAGAATCAAGGGATTTCAATTTTGGACCGGTAAAACCCCCATTTCGGTTCATTCGGAAAACTCTTAAAAAACAGTTTTAAACTTCGAAAAATCGTGCGTTTTTTAAGACTCTGAGAATGGTGTTTTAAGAGTTAACGATTTACTGTTCTGTGACTGTTTTTCAAGAGAAAAATTTCTGCCAGGGTAGTTTTTTAATAAAAATTCAAAATCGTAATATTTTTTTAAGAGTTTTCAATAGTTATACAGTTTAGAACTGTTTTTTAAGAGACAAATTTCTGCCTGGGTATGGAAAATGTTTCAAAAAAAAATTGATTCTTTCATTTCATTTTTTTTCTGGCTTTTCATATTTATTATCACAAAATTTTTTATATGAAATTTTTTGCTGTTGTTTTGTTGGTTTGTTATTCTTGATTTGATATTGTTGTTGTTGAATGAGATTTTTCATTTTTGGTGTTGTATTTTTATCATTTGATTTCGTCTGGTTGCTGTGCTGTTGTTGTTCAATTTTGCGGTATTCTTCTTTTGATTTCATTTTTATTTTTATTTTTATCTTTTTTTTTTATTATTATTATTCAAAAGGCTCATTACAATGATATCCAAGATTTGTTGTTTGGTTTCCCGAACAAACGGAAATGACTGAAATGACAATTGAATTTGATTTGTTGTATTATAGCCAAATGCAAAATGGAAAATGCAAAACATGAAAATCATTTTTTTTTTTGCAGCGGTCGTTGTTAACAATGCTGACATGAATTTGATTTGATTTTTGCTTTGATTTTTCTAAAATGTTTTTCTTTTTCCAATTGAATAACAATTAGTGATTTTTGTTAACGGAAGAAGAAGAACGTGATTTGAATTTATTCTCAGAGAGAATAAAAAACCCAAGTAAAACCCAAAGCAGAGAAATCGACAAGATGTTTAAGTATGGTGGTGAAAGTTGATCGATTGAAATGCCAAGGATCTTTGGTGCAAAAAGATGTTTTAAAAGTTAAAAAACAACAACAGAAAACATTTTTATAGAAAAAAAACATTAATTTAATTAATCTCAGGATATATTGTTTTCAAATTTTAATTGCTTGTTTGTTTTTTGCTTTGTTTTTTTTCATCATTGGTTTTTCAATATAAAAAAAGTTTTTTTTTTATTTTTATCTGGTTTGATTAGTAACAACAGCAAGCTTGTGTCATCAGGAAAATCGGTAATAAATCTACAAGAACAACGAAAAACAGCGAAAAACAACGAAAAACAGCGAAAAACAACGAAGTAGTAAATTTCTTTTTAATAAGACCACCATAAGGATAACAATAAAGGATAACAAAAGAAAAACCACAACAACAACAACAAAAACAATGAAAATAATTGATGGACACAAACACACAAATCATTCATCAAACATAATATATATTCTGTTTGGGTGATCAGAACGGATTCTCTTGTATATTTAAAAAGAAAAAACATATTGGACAGTGGAGAGAGGGGGGAAGGGGGTTAAAAACAAGCAAAAATAAATTGAGTATCATCATCAGTCGTCGATCATGTGATCCCATCTAAGTAAAGAATAAATTTCATTTCATTTCCGAATATATACAGTGTGAATATAATACCCCAAAAGAACATAAAGCTCACATAGGAAAAAAAAGGACATTCATTATATTAGGTTGTTCGGAAAGTACTGTCGGCGTTTTCGAGCACCATTTTTGATCGTCTCTAAAAAATTTTTGGTAGGAGATTTTGAAATTTTTTAAAAGCAAATTAATTTCTTGGTTATCTGGCTATAATTTGATCCAAAAATTTCATCAATTTCCCAGCCCAAAATTTTGCTAGGGCCGCTGGAAGTGACCCTTGTCAAATTCAAAATTTTGACGTTTTTTGTTTTCAGTCCACTGTGACATCAAAAAAATTGTCCAACAACTTTTGGCCCCTAACTGATGATCTCTCATGTCTTGGGACTAACCAGAAGTGATTTTCAAATTTTTGCTGCAACGCGATCATCCTCAAAAGCGGTTTGATTTCCGGTCGGAATAAGAATGTTTGATGTGCTGTTTTCCCTATACCATTATGATTTTTTCCAATTTTTTTTCAAATCTTGAATGATGATCAATTCAAGAATTTTTTGAGACCAAAAAAAGCCAACAAAAACTTTGGGTTGAGAAAAAAATCCACAATTCTCGATGATCGACAAACGCATTGAAAGGCTATGCACACAAAACGACACGACATTCAGACGGCTATGCAATAGACGGGTCACTTCCAACGGCCCTAGCAAAATTTTGGGCTGGGAAATTGATAAAATTTTTTGATCAAATTATAGCCAGATAACCAAGAAATTAATTGGCTTTTTAAAAATTTCAAAATCTTCAACCAAAAATTTTTTAGAGACGATCAAAAATGGTGCCGACAGTACTTTCCGAACAACCTAATAGTAAGCATAATTGCATGTTTGTTGCAAATATCAATCACAAATATGGATGCCATGATACCTAGTGGATGTCGACCAATCAATATTGAGCATTTCAATCAGACATGTTCCGATAAATTGAAAGAAGATCGATTAATTGGAACATTCGTAATTTTAATGTTGTTGTATGGGTTTCTTATGCTATCACTTGGTATTGGAATGAATTCCGTGATGAAAATTAATTTTATGAAAGTTCTTCGTAATGAATATCGTAATGGTAAGCATCATTGAATCGAAAATATCTTTTACTAATTTAACTGTTTATTCAAAGGTTGGTATAGTTATGCATCCTTGATTCATTCTTCCTATATAAATGAACTGCTCACATCATTAATCGTTATGGTAATATGTGTCTTTATCTTTTATATGATTTGCGGTTTTGTTTACATTGATAATTATCATTTGAATTGGTATCGATTTGTTAACGCATCTCTTTTCTGCTTTTTAACACTTTCATACGGCCAATCATTTGGATATCTACTATTGTCAATATGTATTGATAATTTTGAGATTCTTTTACTTCTATGTCAAGTGACGATTGTCTCACTAAGTATTTCGAATAGTTTCATGATTGCAATCGATGTTATGAACAAGCCGGTTTACCTGACCATGTCAAAAATAATCAGTTCCCGCTATTCACTGGAGGGATTATTTTATTCATATTATGAAATTGATCGTTGTGATTCGCAAACAGAATATTCACAAATAGCGAAACAATTATTTATTGATTCCGACAACATATATTCAAATATCAAATATCCTATTGTAGTTATGATTGTTATCCGAATTATTTCTTTCATTGTGATGCGTTGGACATTCAGCAATGTAAACATTGATACAGTTTCATCCGAAAAAGAAGAAGTAATAATGACAAGCATTCTTGCCACTCCCATCGAAATAATTTTCCCTCCAAAGTCTATGAATGTCTCGATGATCGACTATAATAACAACGTTAAATCGGAATTAAATGAATTTCAGCAATTTTGTAAAGGCCGTTACATAATTGGATGGCGTCAATTGACATTGTTCTCCACCGATACAATCTATGAAGTTCGTCCTACTCCTGAATCATTAGAAAAATTCGAAGACACGTTGATATTGCGAAATCTCAGCGGACAATTCCAATTTGGAACATTGAATGCTATAATGGGCAGTTCAGGTTCTGGCAAAACATCATTATTGAAAGTTTTTAATGGGAAAATGAAAACCAAATTGACAGGCTCGACAGAATTTTATCTCAGTCGATTCACACCGATTCGGACTTGCTACATCAGACAAGAAGTTTCCAATCATCTGATACCCGGACTAACGGGCAGACAAAGTTTGGTCTATGCTTCCAAATTGAAGAATTGTCATGAAAGACAATCGATCAATCATGACCAGATAGCAACCAATTTACTCGATGAATTGGACATTGCCAACACAGCCAACACTATGGTGCAAAACTGTTCAGGCGGTGAAAGGAAACGTTTGGCTTTGGCCTTGGAATTGACCTCAGTTCGAATGCCCAATTTGATCTGTATTGACGAACCGGTCAGTGGATTAGATTCTAACTCGGCACACTTGGTTCTTCTGTGTCTTCAACGATATATCGCTCGTCATCCAGATGTAACTATGGTGGTAAGCATTCATCAGCCTAGTACCGAGCAGTTGGGCATGTTTGACCAATGCTACGTGCTTGCATTCGATGGACTTGGCATCTATTCAGGGCCTCCAGCACGAATCAAAAGTTTTTTAAATGAAGCATCTTCCATTGATGATGACAAAAGATACCCGATCGAAACTCTGATTCGATATTCATGCACTGGGCATTCAAATCCAATCGTCCAACAATTAGCAGAAGAAACCGATCATGAAGTTGCTAAGATCACACAGTTGCTATTGCAAGACACAGTTCGAGTGAAAAATGGCTTACCATTTCCACGTATGAGATTTTCAATTCGATTCGTAGCTGTTCTTTTGCAACGTTTCATTCATTCCTCATTCAGATACCAGTGGCCATTATATTTTGGTCATACAATCATGTGTATCTTTAGTGGTGTTGCACTCAGAAGCTTTTTTGATGAGGAAATTGCCCAAATTGATGGCTGCCTATCGATGGAAGAAGATTTCTTGAGTATTTGTTCCAATGTCACCGATCAAAAATGGATAGAAGATGTACGTCTTGCCAATAATGTGAATTATATCTTCTTCTCGTGTTTCGCATGTATTTTCATGATGAATGCTCAAGTGATCAACACGTTTTCCTCAAATTTTAAATTTTTCACAGCCCAACAGCAAAATGGTTTGTATTTTTATTAGATTTGCAAATTAACCCTTAATTACTTTAAATTATTGTAAGGTTGGTACACTTGTGGCGCTTATTATCTCGCCAAATTAATATTCGATGTGATGACAATTCTTCCTATGGCCGTAATCTTTGTTTATGTAACTGATATCTATTCATCTGTATCTCCAAACAATTATTTTGTTTGGCAAGTTTTCAATTTATTCATAGCATCATTGAGCTTTCTGGCCTTAAATAACCTGAGCGTAATGTTTCTTCATAAATCAATTATCGCTTTATTCATAATAATTGGGTTGATGCTTTGCATTGGCATCTTATTATCAAATATATACAATGTTATTGAAGAAATGAATTTCATCGTACGTTTCATATCAAATATTTCAATATTTCGTTACCAATTCCCGGCAACGTTATGGTTAATTTATGGTGGTGAACGATGTCGACCGTATGAAATACAATCCCTGTTGTATATGTTAAACGTTCCAACCAATGTTGAAAACTTTTACGAATGTATATTCAAACTGATTGCATTAGCTATATTCTATCATACCATTGCAGTATTGGTATTTATCATCAAATTTAATCCATTGATCGATCGATATAAAAGAGCCGAATGTATTGAAAAATATCGTAATGAACGTTTGCTTAAATCGAATAAACCCTTCATGAATAAATCGTTTGATTAATCATCGATAATTGTATCAATTCAATCGGTTCGACTTGTTAATTGTTTAAAATAAAAAAAAAATTCTTTTTTCTTTCAATAAATTAAGTTTCTTCTGCTTTTTCTGAAAAAAACCCCATAATATTTTTATTTATTTTACTTCAAAATTAGTTTTTATTTTTGGAAAAAAAATGTTTTCTTCCAAATAAATCCAATTCATCAATTGGAAAATAATTTAACATCCACCAGATTTACAGAATAATTTACGTTCAGCTGCACGACGTCTTACTAAACCTTGTACAACTTTACCACCGGCATGACACCATTTTGGAAATTCATTTGCAGCTGCATGATAATTATGTGCACGTGCATATTTAGCTAATGAAGATTGTTCCAATGAACCACAACCAAGATTATATGCAAATGAAACTAATGCTGCAAATTTATCTGCATCCATTTTCGGTACAATACGTTCGACACAGGTTTCAAATCTGGTTAAATCTTGTCGTAATAATTTTTCACCTTGTGCAACAGTCAATGGTGGATGAATATTATTACAACTTGATGCCGGTATACATGCATGTCCATAGCCGATTGTTTTGACACCCTTAAAAAAAATCATGTGATTAGAATAAAACGAAATTTCTTTTTTGGCTTAAATTAAACATACAACCACATCATAATAAAAATTTGGACGCCATCCTTCAAAACTTTTAATAAGATTTAAACCTTCTGAATTGATTTGTCGGGTGGCTGCATTGACCGAATGATTTTCATTAATGATCAACAATAATAATAATAATGACGAACAAATAAAGATGAACAATTTATTGTTTGAAAACATTGTTGTTGTTTTTTTTTCAAATAAAATTTTCGATAATTAACAAGATTAATAGAAGAAATGATTTATAAATTTTTATTTTTTCCAAGCAATCACATTCTTTTTATATAGTGGATGATAATATTTGCATTGATTAATTGTACAAAATCAGCAACGGTATTTCAAAGATGTAAATATTTTCAAGTGTTTTTATTATTATTTACTTTAATAATGTTGCTTAGCAATTTATTAGTAGTACTTCAATCTCAAGTGGATACATTTTAGATAGAAAAACAGATTAATTAATTATTTTTTTCATTATTAATTGAAGGTAATCAAACGAAAAAAAAAATTTGATTAATTAATTTAAAATTTTCAATTGAATCGATAACGTATTGAATCCAATCGTACACTGCCATTAATTTCAATTGTATCGATTGTTTTCGGATCATGACGATGTTTATATTGACAACATAATTGTCCATTAATTGAAATCGATACAGATTCATTTTGATTTTGGATAAATACTTCAAACATTGATCCAATTGTTAATGGAAATGTTCCTTCCAAACAGGTTTCTTCTTGGCCCCAAACACCATTGATCAATGAATTACGTACAATTTTTGATTGATCCACACGTATACTAATATGGATTGGTATGTTTTGTTTTTTAGCATCACGATCACCATTAGTATTTGCTAAATTGATAACAAAATATTTATTGAATGGATCTAATATCATTCCATTGATAATGATGTCGCAAGGTTTTCCAAAATTTATATTATGTTCAAAATATGGTATCGAAGGTGAATGAACAATGTTAGTGTTTTCATTCTTATCCGATACATCCCGATTTTCTCGGGCAACATTATCATCAACAACAGTAGACGGTTGAATTGTAACAGCAGATGGATCTTGAATAATTGATGGTAATGGTGAAGATTGTTCCTGATCGATTCCTGGTTCACGAAATTCAATCAATTCGACTGATAGATTAGGACCTTCAATATGTATTCGACCTATATGAATGAATGGATTTAGTTAATTTTTTTCAATATTTTTGTTTGAAAATGAAAACTTACCAATATCACCGATTGAAAATCGATGTTGAAATTGATAATGTGGTCGTTCACCACCATCAACATAGATACGAAATCGTTCTTCTTCGGTCAATATCATCAAACAAAATGGTTGTTCCGGTTGAAATGGAAACACTGTACTTCGTTCATCTTGATCCCATTTACCTTCATGAAATGAATTCATCACTACATAACTAGATCCATCTTTTCCTTCACCAAAACGTGCATTAAAATGAAGAGCAACAATTCGTTCAGCCGGATCATAAAGACTTTTTTTACCATCTTCACTACGACAATGTTGACAATTACTTGCATAAAGATCTATACGAAATCTAGATAATTATTTGAAAAGAATTGCAAAATGAATGAAACACAAAACAAAAAAACCAAACAAAAATTCAACTACAAACCTTCCTTGATTATTCGGACAAGATGCATACAAAATGATCAATGATCCTGGTCGTAAATTTCCACCGGGTACTGGACAACAAACCGGTAATATTGGTTCGGTTACATCCGATACTAATCGTGTACGATCAATTATTTCGACTAATGATAAATTATCCATTGATTAATTAATAAATGAATAAATCAATATTCAATGTTACCCGACAGCAACTAAATTAATCTGTCATTCAAATTCTTATTTTCTTCTTTCGACTAATTGTAAAAAACATTCTTCATTTATGTTTTCAATGCCAAATTATTATTATCATATTTGTTGCCAAGTTTAATGTAAATAAATGTCGCATTGCCACATGATAGGCACACACCCTTATTGCATTTTTATTCGATGTAGAGAATAATAATAACCGCTTGTATGTGATAATTTTAGAAAATTCATTATCTTTGGCTGACGATGTAAAAGAATTAAAATTTTTTTTAAAACAAAAAATTATCACTACTAGATGGTGCCATGTTGTCCAGAAAATAATCACATTTTATCATTGCATTTTTTTTCTTCGGGGTAAAAACTAAGTTCACTTTAATCGAATCAATTTCGAAATTTCGAAAATTTAATTTAAAAAAATCATTTTTTACAAAAATTCTGAAAGAAAAATGAATAAAAATAAAAAATTAATTTACCATATTTGCCGTGACCCGGATTCGAGCCGGGGTTTTTGCGGTATTGTTACAATTCCAGCATATGATTTGATAACAAGCAGCTACCAACATATACATTCGAAAAGAACCACAACGCAAAGTACTAACCACTATACTATCACGGCTATTCATATGGCCAAACAAGCAAAATTTTTGATTTTAGTCGAGAAATTTCTGATCCCCGAGAAAAAAAAACTATCGATATAAATAGATATATCATTGAGAAAAAAAAATGAATGAATGTAATCGATTATAACAGAATCAAAATTTCCGAAAGTAATGAAAACAAAACAAAACAAAACAAAAACATTCATTCATTAACATTTCTCAAATTTCATTTCATTTTCAAATTTTTTTGCAATCAACAAAATTCATCAAACAATCATGTTTGAAAAAATTCAAATTCAATTTCTATTTAAAATTCTAACCAATAGATGATGCTTACATCAAATGTTCAACACGTAATTTTGAGTTGTTGTTTGTTTATGTTTTTGTTTATGATGATGATGTTATTATTGATCAATTATCATTTGAAAATATAGATGATCTTTTTGTTTTCTTCGAATTTCATCGATTTTACATAATAATAATAATGATAATGATGATGTTGTTTTTTCTTCAAAAACAATCATTATATTTATTATTATTCATCATTATTCATTGGATATTATCCATTTGGATGATTTTCATTTCAAGACCATCCGAATCATTATTATGGCAAAAATTTTCAATAAAAAATATTGATAAATATTTTCAATATGACGAGCTTATTTACGATACCTCATCATCAATAATCATCGATAATAATAATATTGATGATGATGTTGATAATTATAGACGAAAAAAATTCTGTGATAAAAATAATAATAATCCAACATTCGGTAATTGAATTTCGATAATATTTTGTGATAAAAATTTAATTTTCTTTTGTTTTTTTTTCTTTCCAAAGAACAATTTATTAATGAAAATGAATCGGAAAAAAATCTAGTCATCGAAATGGATGAAAAATCATCAACATTCGAATGTTTAATATCCGGTTTTATTCTATTGAATTTAAGCATTATTCTTGATATATTTTCGTTTCGAATTACACAACGAATAATTCTCTGGCAATCATTTTATAATCATTTTAAAATATTATTTATAACAGCTATCGATTTAAATCTTATTTATGGTTCATTATTAATGATTATATTTTATCTAATGCCAATCACCATCAACGAACAATATTCATTCGAAGATGATAATGATGATGAAGATAGTATTCTTATTCAAACGAATCAATTTCTAATCAATTTAACTCGTTTTGATTTAAATTTTTTAATCAATTTTTTAACAACCGGTTTAATAATAACATTTATTCGATGGAAAATTCTAACCAATGATGCTGATAATATTAATAATAATAATGATAATGAAAATTCTGATCAATTATTCAATGTTTATCATGATCATGTTTCATTATTTTTCAATTATTTTCAAAAATTATTTCATTATATTAATGTATTTTTATTTCGTAAAAGCCAAAATACACATCGAAATCGTTATGATCGAACACAATATTCATCAATTTCAAATCGAATGTCATTATCATCATCATCATCATCATTAACATCGATGATTTATAATGATGATCAATATGTTTCACAAGATGATGATGATGATGATGAAGAATTTCTTTCCGAAACCGATGATATCGATACAATCGATATGGATATGGAATTTGATATGGATATGGATCGTATATTACTTGAACGTTTATTTGCCGGTTCACCTAATCTATGGCTACAAACCGAATTAATATCAAATGATTATCTAAATAAATTACCTGTTTGGAATTATCAGGAACCAGATGATGATGATGAAGAAGAAGAATCATCATTATCATCAACAATGTTGATTGATTATAATCAAAATTTTATCGATAATCAATGTTGTACATCATCATCTTTATCATCATCTTCTTCTTCTTCGGAATCTTCAGATGATAATGATTATCTTGATTGTTTGAAACAAACTATTTTGAATTTATCCAAATCAAAACAATCAACGTCTTCATCATCATCAAATATTAATATAAAAAATAATGATAATTATCATGATGATGATGATGATATTATTGTACATGATATAATTCTATCGAAAACAAAAGATTTACGTAAAAAAGTTTTTAGAAAACGTCGTAGTAATGATGGAATTCGATCGAATCATAAATCAAAACAACAAGAGCAACAGCAGCAGCAACAACAACAACAACAACAACCTGTAAAAGAATCAAACAATTATTATTCAACATATCGCCCAGAATGGATGATTGATCAACGTGATTGTACAGTATGTTTAGAACCATATGAATCGGAACAGATTATAATGGGATTAGCTTGTGGACATAATTATCATCAACCATGTATTGCACAATGGCTTTGTCGTGGTAATCATCGTTGTCCAATATGTCGTTGGCCATCATATCGTTTACAACATCCACGTCAATATCAATATCAAAAAAATCAACAACAACAACAACAACAAATGTTATTTAAACATAATCAATATCATACAGCTTTGAATGATATAAGTTAATTTAAAATAAAAATTTCGGTCATTTTTGTTTTTGTTTTCGATTCGGATTGATCCAGTATGAACCGATTTTTTTCCAATGGTTTTTAATAAAATAGACATTGAATTGATTCCATCATTTTTTAAAAAAGTCTTTTCCATTTGTTTTTTTGTTTTACATTGTCACTGACAATGATATCAGCAAAATAAATGAATAAAAAAAATTTTCTCCATTTTCAAACCATTTATTTTTTCATTTTTTTTCAAACTAAACAAGAAAAAATATTTAAAATTACCCGTTTTGTCCGAATGGAAACAAACCGAGAATTAATCGATCGAAGGATAGCAACTAATGTGGATTATTGGAATTATAACGGCCAAAAAAGAAAAAGAAAAAGAAATTTATCCAGTGCAATGGCCGATCGGTTGCAATTTTTTATTGTCCACAACCATTCTGATTGATTAGTCATGTTTTTTCTTTTTTAGTTTGCCATTATCAAAATACGTCCTATGGTGTTGTAATTGATTTCCGTTTTTTTTATCGTTGTTGTTGTTTCTCCGGATTTTTAATCGATCAATTATTTCATTTGGAATAATGATTATTGGTTGATGAAAAAACCCATGTAAAATCTAAATTGATTGCACGATTGAATTCTTGTGTTGTCAATTTCGAGAAATTCTTGATGCGGGATATAATGTATCCAGTGGGGTTTTTTCCTTTCTCTCATTCTCAATGAATGAAAAAAATCCCAATCACATTAGAAGTCGATAGAAACAAAACCAAAAAATTCCCCAGAATCAATGTACCCGGAAATTGACAGATTCAGATTTTCATTGATTGAATTACAACAACAACAACAACAACAAAAATAAAATTATTAAAAATGAAATAAATTTTGTTAAGAAAAAACTAAACTGAATATCGAAAATAATTTCCAAAATCCGGAAACCCGGAAATCGACAGGTAAAGCTGATTTTATCCACCTTTAAAATTATTAATGTTTATTAATTGATCAAATTTGAAATGTTTTTTTTTTGTTTTTGTTTTTTACAAATCTTAATTACCATTTTTATGTTTTTTTATCATCATCATCATCATTTATCAATCAAATCAATCAAAAATGAATTGAAAGAAAAAAATTCCTGAAAATTATTAATCGAATAGGGAAAAGTTTCTGGAACAACAACTACAACAACAAGTGCAAATGTGCTCACATTTTTGAAAAAAAAAATTTGTTTGTTTGAATTTCTTTCAGAAAAGAGACTTGTTTGAAGAAAAAAAAACGTTTGTATGGGAAAATACCTTTAATTTTTGTTGTTGTTTGTTGCTTGTTTACCATGAATAAAGAAAGAGGTAGGGATATAACAACAAGAAAATTGGAAAAGGATAAACAGGAAACATATATATACATATTAGTTGAAACTTGAATGTCCACTTTGTTTAATTCATTAAATATTTATTGAGAAAAAAAAAAGAATAAATCATTCAATCAATTTGACCTTTTGAACATTTGATGAAGAATATGAGAAACAAAAAAAAAAAAAAAATCTCAACAAAAACAATCAATTTAATTCATCGAACATTAATTTCCCCGTTTTGTTTTCATTCATTCGCAAAATGATTCATTCATAAATGAAATGATAAAATTGAAAAAAAAAATTTAAAATTCAAATGAGTTTTGTTGTTGTTGTTGTTGTAATATTTTCAAAATTTAAAAAAAAATTATTGATCAAAAATCTAATTACAAGATAATCATTTAATCACCAAAAAAACGAAATGGTTTGGTTTTGTTTTGCCCTTTTTTTTCAATTTTGTCTTTAATTTTCTTTTTCTTTTTCACACGATCCACATTATTATTATCCTTTTAGCATCATCCTTTCATTGATTGGAAAGTTTCCATATTTTTCCATATTTTCTTTGATTATTATTACATCGAACAAGAGAAAAAAACAATAATCTCTATTCCTAAATCAACCTCAATATTCAGTTACGAGAAAAAAAAGGATGATGATGATAATGGATGTTTTTTTTGAAAAAAAATTATAGTGTCACCAAAATAAAAATCGATCGATTTCATTCGGATTATGATGATGATAATGATGAATATCGAAAATATTTTTGGGTACGAAATTTATGTCATTTCAAGAAAATTTTCCTGATTAAAAAGTATTTGTGCGTTACAAGTGAGGCACACACACACACACACACTCAAAGATAATATTCAATCCTGAAAGTTTTTTTTAAAAAAAACGAGAATGAGAAAGACATTTTCAGAAAGAAAATGTACAAATTTTTCAACCAAAAAAAAAAAAAAAAAAAATCTAATTTATCATTAAACGACGAATGATAATGATAACAACAACAACAACAGGCATCAGCAACATTGACGCCGATCATGATGATGATGATGATGATTTAAGGGGAAATACTCTCAATTTGATTCAATGCAAAATCAACAACAACAAAGTTGACATCGATGCTTTTCATTTTTCCATTGAGTTTATACATGCATGATGTATTTGTTGTGATCAAAATATATAAACCATTCCATCGTCATAAAATCAAATCAACAACAAGAAAAATTTTCATGGCTCCCTTCATTTTTTTTTCAGTACGTGTACGTAAAGTTTAGTGCAGTGTATGTGTGTGTGATGTATTTGATATTGTCAGGAAGGCGTCACAATTTAGTTTTTTTCCCCACCATTTCCACCACCCGTTCAACCATAATAGATTGATGAAGAGAGAGAGAGAGAGAGAGAGGGAGGAAACCTGTGTGGATACAGAAGAAATAAATTAAAAAACCTGGAAGCCATTTGACAAAGGGGAAAACATCATCATCATCATTAGAGATATCATCAACCATGGATGAATGGAAATGGATGGTAATATTGATTGCAATAATATTGCAATGTACATGAAACAAAACAAGCAAAAAAGAAAGAAAAAAATCCAAACATTTTTTGAATTGAAAAAAAAAAATGTATATGAAAAGTGAAACAGAGTACATTATACACACATATATCATGTGTGTGTGTTGAGCTTGAATCTTGAATTTTTTTTTGTTTTTTCTCCTTCTGTTGATGATGATGATCATAATGAAGACGAAAAAAAAGAAAACTAGAAGAAGAAGTGGAAGAAGTAAAAGATGTTGATGGCGAAAAACAACTTGTATATGTTTTTTTTTCAAATTTATACGAACAAAAATGAATAGTGTATCAAAAAAAAAAAACCATCGATGTTGTTTTTGTTGTTGTTGTTGATGTCGATTTCGATGATGGTGATGATGATGTTTGATGATGGTGATGAGGATCATCATCTGCATCATCATCATCATCAACAACAACATCATTGCTGTTGTTAATGGTAATGGTAAATGATCGTCGTCATCATCACCATCATCATCATTGATTTGGATATTTCTTTCTTTCGTTCAAAAAAAAAAAAAATTTTTTCCCATTTATTATTATCATTGTCGACTTTCAAACAAAAACAAAACAGAAAAAAAAACAGTGAGAAAATCAAAAAAAAAGTACCAGAAAACCCAAAATAATAATGTTGTTGTTGTTGTTTTAAATGGGGGTGTTTTTTTTGCTCTTGGAATTTTTCTTTCCATCATCATCACTTGTTGATTTACATTGATATTTGTTGTTGTTGTCGATGTTTATTCGTGAATATTTTTTCTGTTTGTTAAAGAGATTCATTTTGGCAAATACGCATGGTTGTGTGTTTGTTTGTTGCACAAATGCCGTTCATTCTTCTTCTTGTTGATTATTATCATCATTATCATCTCGAATTATCATGAAGAATTGCCTGTTTCAAGAACTTGTTTCAATTTTGTTTTGTTTTGCTTATAGCGGTGTTTATTAATTAATTTGTTTATTGTTATTTAAAAAAATTTGTTTCGTTTTTTTCAAAACAACAACAACAACAACAAAATAAAATCATGTGAATTATGATTCTCTATTTCGACGGAAACAGACAAACACATGTTGAAACAGGTAAGCAAAACAAAAAATAGTGATTTTTTCGCATTCGAATCCTTTTTTTTCATGTTCTTTTTCTCGGGAAAAAAATCACAATGTTCTAATTGAATCATTATCAAATGATTTAATTGTTTTTTTTCCCAAAAATTATTGCATCAACAAACAGCAAAAATTAGAAATAGCCAGGAAAAGTTTCTTGTAAGTTGTTTTTTTATTTGATTTGATGATAATCATCAAATATGGCTCGATAGTTCTATGTGTTTGTCTGTTTGTGTCTGTATGCTGATCATCACCCAAAAGATAATGACTATTTGAATCTCAAAATACATTTTTTTTTCTCCCCAAAAACACACACACACACACACACACACATGACAATCATCATCAATTATTAATTTGATGATAATGATTAATGATTTCAAAAAAAAAAATAACAGTACAAAAGTCCAAAGTTCTTTGTAATGGATGTATAACTAACTAACTTTTTAAAACCAAAACAACAGCTATACTGATAATGGAAGCAAAAAAATGAGAATAAAAAGTCCAAAGTTGAAACCAAAACAAAAAAAAAATTCAATTTGAAATAACAGGAACGAGTTTCGAACAAACAAACAGAAAACCGAAAGTACAAAGTACATGGCCAAATATTTAAATCAAAAAAAAAAAACCAAAATAAAAATTCTGAACTTTGATTTGACAAATTTTTTTTTGGTGTTTGATAAAAAAAATATCAATCAATCAATCAATCAATGGATACTTTTTTTTTGTCGTCGTTGTTTTTTTTTTTTTTTTTGGCCAACATTCAAATTTAACCAATTTAATTAATAAAATTTGATAATCAAATTAGCTTTGGTTCATTAATGATTACAATTTAATGTAACCAAATTGGGCGAACTCTCAGAACCCAAAAAAAAATGAACCAAGTAAAAACTGGATTCAAGATTTTTTTTTAATAAATGAAAATATCATCATCATTATTGGCCATTCGCCAACAAATTTATTGACTGATTGATGATGATGATGATGATAAAAAGTATTTTCTTGTAAAAATCGATCATTTTTTTCCAGTAATTTTTTTACCCAGAAAACAAAAAAAATTGTTAAAACAAAAAAGTTTTTTGCTGATAATTTCCTTCTTGGTTATTTTTTTTTTGTTTCTTTCATATATTTTTTTTTTGTCATATGATCATCATCGATGATCATCAACTAACCAACCAACCAATGATCAATCGACATGAGAAAAGAAATGAAAAAAAAAGTACATTACATCTCAAACCTACTACAATTTTGTTTTGTTTTGTTTTGTTCAATTTTTTTTAACTGTTTTTAAAATCTTTTTGAGGTGAATTTCTTTAAAATTTAAATATTCAATCACCGAATTTCGTGTGTTTATATTTTGGAAGAAAATGATGATGATGTTTTTGTTGACGAAAAATGTTTTCTTTTAAATTTTCGGGTGAATGACATTGAAATTTTTGTTTTCATTTTTCATTTTTAACTGTTTGTTGTTTTTTTTCAAAAATTAAAATCCTTGGCCTTGTGTTTTTCTAGATTGTGTTACGATGATGATCAAAACAATGATTGGAAATTACATAGTTTTCTTGAGAAAACAATTTTTGTTTTTTTGTTACAAAACAGAAAATAATAATCAATTTGATGATGAAAATGTGCCCAAACTTTGTTGTTGTTGTTGTTTTTATTAATTGCAGGTAAACAATTGATAATGATGATGATGATAAAATTATAATGAATTTTATTAATCTTTTTCTAAGATTAATAAAAAAAATTACAACGTTGTCATTAAAAACCAAAAAAAAATATCGAACAAAGGAAATATATTCTTTTCTCAAAATAGTTTTCCAAGGAATATTTCTTTTTACAATCTTGAATAATTTCCTGGAAATTTTCTCGTAACAAAAAAAAAATATTCATTCATCATGTGAATCATCATTGAAGATTGCAACATTTTTTTTCTCCATTCCATTCGTTTAGAATTGAAATCTGTGTGTGTGTGTGTGTGGTTATCCTTCACGTTGCCAACATTATCATCATCATCGTCATATAAAATAAACATAGATTTTAATGATGTGATGTGAACGTGTTATTCAATAAATTTTTTTTTTTTGCCGAAAAAAAAACTTTTCTAATTGAAAATTATGAATGAAAAAAAAACATTGCAATGTGAGAAGAAAATGAAGAAGAAATTTCCGACCTTGAATTGAATTGTGGTTAATTGGAATGTAATCATCATCGTCATAGTTTTGTCCTTACCACCACCATCAACACAACGACGATTATCACCATTAAAATTATCATTGAAAAAAAGAATACGAAAAAAAATCGAATGCGATCATTTTCTATTTCGAACCATTTGGTTTCTGTGTGTAAATAGTTTGAACTCTTCGAACAAACTTTGAATTCTTTCTTTTTTTCGATTCTATGAATTGAGGAAAAATACCAAAAATTTTTTCCTCACCAAAAGTGAAAAAAAATCAATTCTAATGATAACTCTTGCTTTCACAATTCGATCAATCGACAACGAACGAAAAATTGAAATCATTTGTGATCTTGTTGATAGTAATGTGGTGTAGTTGCAAACAAGAAGATATCTTTCTCATTTCTTCACTCAAAAAAAAAAAAAAATTTATTTATCCAAAACTTATGCTTCATCATCGTTATTGTAACATACACACACACATTGAACCAAATAACACAACGTTCGAATGTTGTTGATTTGAACAAGTGAAAAAATATTGTACACTTGAACAACAAAAAAAAATTGCAAACAACCTGTATGATGATGATTATAATAAAGAAATGGATTCTCAATTCTACATTTGTTATTGCTGCTTTATTTTTTTCAATTTCATCTCGTGATTGATTGATTGATTCAACAACAATTATTATGTGTTTTTTTCTGCATAATACAATATAATTTCAATGCAGCTTTGGTTTTGTTTGTTTTTTCACTTGTAATTAATCAAATTAAATGTTAAATTAATTATAAAATAACTAATTTTTCGATATGTATCTTTTTCCTTTCTCTCTTTATAGATTACGACGATAATCGATAAACTACAAAAACGATAACCTGAATAATGGCATGAAGAAAAAAAATTTCAAACAAAAAAAAAATTCCAAATTTTCGATCTCAATTTTGCAAACAAAAATATTGTGATGACAAATCTGTAATTTCCGATGTAACATTGTTTGTGTACGTTTTAATTGTGCAAAAAAAAAATTGATAAAGAAAATCCATCATTTTTTGTGGCCAAAAAAAAAAAAAAAAAAAAAAAAAAAAAACCCCCCCACCCCCCATTTTCATCAGTAAAC